TTTTATTTTAAAAATAAAGTTGATTTAAATTTTAAAAATCAACTGATTTAAATCGACCTGATTTAAATCAACCCAACCCTGGTAGCCCTGTGGGCATGTACTATTGTACGGATAACTGCAGCAATTATTCGTACAATTGTGTTGCAATTGTGTGCACAATGTTGTACGGATAAGCAGACAGAGTTGTTCGAACAATTGAACGGATCACTCCGTATAAAATTATTATTTCTCTTGAGGCCAAAAAAAGAGCATTGTAAGTAAAAATTTAATTGATTTGAATCAAACTGATCTTTAAAGAAAACCTTTTATCGAGGCAAGTCATTGTCAGTTTCTGAAAAGAAATCAGAAATTCAAAGTGAAATGTAGAGGATTTTCCCATGTCGTGACATGGAAGCACTTTCAACGGCTCAAACTTTTGATCAAAGGAAAAGAAGTATGATGGATTTATAAGGGTTCTTGCTACAGCTGCACTATAAGACTGCAAGTACAAGTACAAGTGACATGGAGCTAATGAGAGCACACTACATCAGCTTCTGATTCGCTAAAATATTATATCAATGAAACGACGTGACGAGGACAATACCAGACACACACACCTTTTCCTAATTCCTAAATCCTTATTTCGAGCCCCCCCCCACACACACACACACCCAACCCTCGCGTCACAGTTTTCCTTCTTTCTCTTAGCAACTTGGCCCCTCCACTTTTACAGCCGACCCGGCGCCCCTAGCATTACTAGATCTAGAGTCATTTAGACTACACGTATCTATTTTACAATGACTTGATTAACAAGGCAGAAGTTGTGTATATATGTGAGTGGAGGGGGGGTGGGCTCCAAGGTGGCTACCCCCCCACCTCAATTTCATAAAAATAGTCTTGTCTGGTCACTTGCTGCCTTAACTTACTTGTCATTCATTATCTTGGCCACAGCAAAATGTTTTTAATCTAATCAACATCGCAAAATGAAGCAATCCACAAAAAGCAATCAGACATAATTTACCTGCATTCCTCCAAGTGCTCCAGTTGTACTGGTTACAGATATTTTCCAGATGTTCCATTCTTTGTCACAGTAATAAACAGTCAGAGGATCCCAAGGATCAGGAATCAAGTGATTATGAACACTGTACAGCTTAGCATGGTGAGATGAAAAGCTCATCTCTGGTGGTTTCGCCACATCAACATCTAGAAATTCACAAAAAGACAAAAGATTTGTATCAATCAAGCTAAAACTAAGAACAAAAAGTATAAAAAAGGGTACCACAAAAAGCATTTAGAGACCGGTTTTAGCCCCAAGGAATGAGTTATATACTGCCCTCCTACTATCGTACATGTGTATCCTACAGTCCTACCCCTAATCCCACCCTTAACCTAACCTTAACCCATATTAAATGGCTGCAGTTATTGGTACTATAGTGCATACAACTCTAACAAGTTATTAGTACAATTGCACCAATAACCAGACAAGGTTATTCGTACAATTATTTGAATTTTGGAGTTTTAGTCATCCAGTTGGCTCTCCCTTGGGTTGAGCATCAATATTAATATTTAACTTTAACCAGGCTTAAATTGGTAGGCCCAAAAGGAAAAGTATACTTTTCTTAGCATATCATGTGGATCTACATATGTAGATCTATAATTGTAACTATTATGTTTCTTTTTTTTACACAAAACCGGGAGTGGAAATGTTTGCAGTCAAAACAAACAATTACAATAAGGGGAAAAAAATGTTTGTCAGTCTGGGGAGGAGAGAGACAGAACAAAAAAAAAACAACCTTCCAGGACCAAGATTCAAACCCACACTCATAATATGTACTTTCTTCAAACGCAGACACACTGTCATTTTGGCTATCAGAACTATCAACATAATAAGGTAGATTAGCTTAAATATTTTTACAGCACAGTTTCAACGCAACACAGATATAATAATATATAGATCTAGACATTATTTTTTTTACATGGGGGTACACCATCAACGAAGCATCAATTAAAAAATTTCCGCTGGAGGAAAACTGAAAACACAGATCTACTAAGACAGAACATGTAGCCCTCAGGGTTGGTGATTTTTTTGATTTTTTAAATAAAAATATAAAAAATTCGATTTTAATCGGATTAAAAAAAAAATTTTTTATTTAAAAAAAATGAAGACAGTTTGGGATTTTTAGTGGCTAAAAGTAAGTTCTTTTAGTGCAAAATGCATTGTCTTTATTTTAACTAATGATTAATTTAAGCAACTGCAATTTTAGAAAGCCTGATTCTACTATATATCATCAGTGAATTATGGCTACAGACAAAAAATGAAGAAAATGTCAGTCTAAAAGGAAGGGTGGGGGGGTAATTATGCATAGATAAACTTGCATTTTATTACAGTGTGTGTGTGTGCCCGTGCTTGTGTTTGTCTAAAAAGAAAAAGAAAATGCTAATTTCAATTATGAAAAAAAAGTAAATTGAATATATACAGTATTATTTTACTACTTACAGTGACAGGGGGGGGGGGGGAGAAACAGACTTTTAAGCATGATTATTTTAGTCTACTAAACCTTATATCTGTTTTATAAAACCAAGGAAAGGAATTCTGAATGTTTGAAGAGATGTAAAAACAGAATACATTTTTTAAAAGTGATTTAAATCACTGAGTTTTATTTTTAAAATGAAGTTGATTTTAAAAAATTTTTAATCATGATTTAAATCGACCCAACCCTGGTTTTCAATTATGAAAAAAAGTAAATTGAGTACTGTATTATTTTACATTGACACTGTTTTATAAAACCAAGGAAAGGAATTCTGAATGTTTAAAGATGTAAAAACTGAATACATTTTTTTAAAGTGATTTAAATCACTGAGTTTTATTTTTAAAATCAAGTGGATTTAATTTTTTTTTAAATCAACTGATTTAAATCAACCTGATTTAAATCAACCCAAGCCTGGTTTTCAATTATGAAAAAAAAGTAAATTGAGAGCTGTATTATTTTACAGTGACAGGGGGGAAAGCAGACTTTTAAGCATGATTATATTAGTCTACTAAACCTTATATCTGTTTAATAAAACCAAGGAAAGGAATTCTGAATGTTTAAATATGTAAAAACTGAATACATTTTTTTGAAAAGTGATTTAAATCACTGATTTTTATTTTAAAAATAAAGTTGATTTAAATTTTAAAAATCAACTGATTTAAATCAGCCTGATATAAATCAACCCAACCCTGGTAGCCCTGTGGGCATGTACTATTGTACGGATAACTGCAGCAATTATTCGTACAATTGTGTTGCAATTGTGTGCACAATGTTGTACGGATAAGCAGACAGAGTTGTTCGAACAATTGAACGGATCACTCCGTATAAAATTATTATTTCTCTTGAGGCCAAAAAAAGAGCATTGTAAGTAAAAATTTAATTGATTTGAATCAAACTGATCTTTAAAGAAAACCTTTTATCGAGGCAAGTCATTGTCAGTTTCTGAAAAGAAATCAGAAATTCAAAGTGAAATGTAGAGGATTTTCCCATGTCGTGACATGGAAGCACTTTCAACGGCTCAAACTTTTGATCAAAGGAAAAGAAGTATGATGGATTTATAAGGGTTCTTGCTACAGCTGCACTATAAGACTGCAAGTACAAGTACAAGTGACATGGAGCTAATGAGAGCACACTACATCAGCTTCTGATTCGCTAAAATATTATATCAATGAAACGACGTGACGAGGACAATACCAGACACACACACCTTTTCCTAATTCCTAAATCCTTATTTCGAGCCCCCCCCCACACACACACACACCCAACCCTCGCGTCACAGTTTTCCTTCTTTCTCTTAGCAACTTGGCCCCTCCACTTTTACAGCCGACCCGGCGCCCCTAGCATTACTAGATCTAGAGTCATTTAGACTACACGTATCTATTTTACAATGACTTGATTAACAAGGCACTAGAACAATATGTCCTATAGTTGACAAAGGGGGTAGAAACTAGGGAACTACTGCAGTTTTTATCTGTATGTATTGATATTTGCCTGGCCTCTGCTCTACAATAGAGATCACCAGCAGACACTCGCTCGCTCAATGGTGACCTAGATTTCCGACTACATTCCATTAGGCTTAAGGTCATAGTAATATAACCAAATTTGGTATGTGTACATACATCACTATATACAGCCAATCAGAAGCCGGTGTAGTGTGCTCTCGTTAGCTCTATGTTGACAAGTATCAAGTGTAAGAGTAAGAGCAACGTTAGTACGGTTGGTTAGGTCTACAAGTACTGTCTGAACAGGTTGTAGGTTAGTGTTAGCCTAAAATATAATAGTTCATTTGTCAATGTCTGACCAATTTATCTGAAGACAAGTTAGTATAAGCAGACCCAAACACATACAATAAATTGTACGCCAGGGGATCTCTCTATGTTATATGGTCATGCTAAATTACTTAAATGACGTGGAGATTTTGACACTGTCAATAGCGGAGTGTGACAGAGGCAGATGATTCACAATTTAACTTAACATGCCATTAAATTTCCACAGTTATCACTTACACATTAGGAATGCATGCAAAATTTAACTCACTTTTATCGAGCGGAATTTCACGTTTGGGAATTTTGTCAAGGGACAGTTGATAGTGGTCAAAGTTCGGATTTATGAACTCTCTTTTCGGACGAAGATCAACCAACGAAGCCATTTTGTTATGATATGATTCCCTTGTAGTAGCTTCCCTTGTTTGACTTTAAAAAAACTTAACTTAATCCTGAGTTCAGCAACATAACAAAGTTTTTAAAAGAATGGTAATAAAATCTCTTTACTTGAAAAGTTCAAGAAAAGCCTTTTTTCTTTCTAATTTCAATGTTATAACTCAAAAATTGAATTTTTGTTATAGATATTTACAGTGTTTTAAAGAGGAGTTTTAGGAAATAATGTAATTGTCAGTTCAGATTTTCACAAACAGCTGTCAATTACCGGGATTTCCCGTAAGGCAGATCTAGGCCAAGGGTAAGGGTGGAAGTCGACGGTTTACCACTCTCCAGCGTTTGGAGGTTATTATTAGAGAAGACCAAAACAATATTCTCAGTGCACTTTTTTTTGCCACTGCTACATTGCTCCAGTCTTCAGTGGCCTCAGTTGGAACATTGACACTGTAAGCTTCAGCTTCGGTCTTTACATGCAAATAACTCAATACCTTATTGCTTTGGACAGGAGTTCTAAATTTCATGCATTGACCAATCCTTCCATGGTTGGGTTATAATCTTGGTTGATAGCCTAGGCCAGGCTAGGCCAGGCTAGAGATCTGGGCGATTTTGTAGTTTCGTTCGTTAAAGTCAAGAGTAGGGGTTTTTCAGGGGGGCAAGCCCCCTGACCTAATAAAAATGTGGAGGTGGGGGG